GCCCCCCATTTTTGGGGGTTTTTTTTTTTTTTTTTTTTTTTTTTTTTTTTTTTTTTTTTTGGTGTGGCTTTTCAAGGTTTAGAAGATGAAAGTAGGACGTCGTTTTTAATTAATATCGGTATGAAAATTGTGCGGTGCTTGGTGAAGTTGTGTGGGTGCAGCCCAATGAAAACTGCCCCTGTGTGCGTATGCCCGATAGCCGTGTTTGGTGACAGAAATTGGTCAAATAACGTAACTGTGACCAGGGCGCAATGTTAACAACAAAGATCCCCTCACTTTTAAAACACCCCATTTATGAGCAAAATGCTTACACATTTAACTAAACAAGAATGTGCTTTTTACATTTGTGAGTTATGCACAATCAGTTTCATCTATTAGCCCTGTTAACCAAATATATACAGAAATGATGCAGCTGATAAACATCCTTAGGATATTTCATCTTTCAACAATGTTCAGAGTTATTTTCAATTACTCTTTTAGGTAACATAACTTACTTGTATAATTTTGCATGTAGGCATATAATTGTGTTGTGGAACTTCCCGGGTTTTTACAAGAAGAAATTACACCTTGTGCTATTTTGGAAACGTTTAAACTGACCTGTTCTTAAGTGGTTGAAACTTCGAGCCAGTTCACTTCTTGAGCTAGTTTAGCTCAGTGAGAGAGTTGTCTTCAGAGCTCCTACATGTTAAAAGCCACATGTCCTTAAGGAGCTGTACAACTGCAAGTTTTGATGGTTTAGAGTTAGGATGTAGATATTCAGCAAAGCTGGAAAGGTGTTTAAGTTGCTGTCGTACTCAAGTTCTTAAACATGCCTTGTTACCAGTCCATATGTCAATATTTGACACGTTTGGTATTGTTTTAGGAAGTATTCAGAATGACTTTTTAATCCATATTCTGCCTAAAACTGTACACAAGTAACCTGGAGCCAAAACTGAGGTCCTGCTATGCTGGATATGTACATATTTGTTTTGAGGATTACCAGATGAGCTTGCTATGGATGGTGTTTCTCCTGAAGTATGATCAGTGGTATATTCCTAGCCTATTACTTGCTTTTGGGTAGCCAAGAGAGATAAAGGGGAGGAAGTAGCATGTTTCATGATTAATGAATGAGATATGGATGAGTACAGTTTGCTCAGACTTACGCAAACCATGGAGGGGAGTGCAGGCAACAGAGCTTGGGCCTCCCAAATAGCGATCCAGAGGAGCAACCATGCTCCCTCTCCAAGTTCTAATGTTAGAAAACTTTTAATCATGAGGATGTTGCAAAATCAATTTGCATTAAAAAAGCTTGTAATACATTATCTAGAATAATAAAGCAAAGTATAATATATTTTATTTATCTAATAAATAGACTTAATCGAACCAAATGGATTTGCTATACAAAGTCTGGTGGCTGTCAGCAGTTATTCTGAAATACCGGATTTTTTTATTTACATCATATAGAAAAATATTTTAACTTCTGTATTGCCAAATTTTGATTCTTTGCCTTCTTTCTTTGTTTAATCGAAGTCGAAACATCACTGAAACCAGTTTTTCTAGAGCTATGTGATTTCATTTTGGATGGGTTATCTTCCCTACTGTTTGCATAGGTGCTGCTGAAAGATTCAGCGTTGAAAACTCTGTGTTTTAGGTTAGTAGGCTTAAAATCACTCTTAGCAACAGAAACCCACAGAGGAAAACACATTTCACTTTTATTAGAAAACTCTCCTAGGGATTATAGTGAGGTTTGGTAGACATTTAATTGCCATCTAAACTTTACCCATTACCAGTGGGATTGGCTGTAGTTGGTTTATAGGTAATTTCCTTGCAGTGACTGGATGTGTGTCTTCATGTTCTCAACCAAGTGCCTGTTGTTCTTCCATCATAGCACATGGGATATGAACATTGGCGTTTTCCTGTAGTGTTGATCCTGTATTTTTACTTAACCAATTCTTTGTTTTGGTATTGCATTGTTTTAATTTCTCTCTCTCTATCTCCTAGGTCTTCTTGTGGGAACATTAGATGTGGTTTTGGATTCCAGTGCCAGAGTTGCCCCATACCGTATTCTGCACCAGACTCAGGACTCTCAAGTGTATTGGGCAGTGGCGTGTGGTATGTATTGATGTGACTCTTGTCAGGGGCTGGATTTGTGTTACTCTATTGTCTGTTTGGTTCAGGTGATCAGTTATCCTGCATAGGAGTATCCTGTGACTGCTCAGGAAACTTTCTAGAGCTTCTGGGGGGGTAGCGGGAGATACCAGAAATCAGAAAAGTTTTCAGTGTTGTTTAAGCTTTAGTTTAGGACCTTAAGGCTCTGTAAAAGCTTCAGTTTCTGCAGATGTTATGAATTTTCTTTCTTCCAAGGTGTATCTGTTTGCAAGCTCATAGTAAGATTGTTCAGAGAATAAAGCCATGATGGTAAGATTGCTGTGGGACGATGAGTGTTGTGCCCAAACCTGCTTACCAGGAACACGGTACAAGATGGAAAGATGTAAGGCCGTTCAAGATGCCAAACACTCTTTGGGGAATCTCTTTACTGTCTTGATCCAATTTATTTTTTTCTGCTATTTCTGGCCTGTAATAGATACATAGATGTAGTATCTCTGTAAAATATATTACAGTGATATTTTTTTAAAACATCAAGAATCCTTGGCCTCTTTTACTTGAGAAATGTAACTGCTGTATTAGAATATCATGATACAACCTTCTAATATCTGGTGGTGAACTTCAATTAAGGCTTTAGGTCCTGCTGGTTGCTAAAGAGAAAATATCTTCAGACATATTAGTTAGACCAACTTTGTTTATAATAAGAATCTTCACTTCTCACTTTGTGGTTGAGACGTAAAATCTGATCATGAAGTAATGATTTTCTAAGCCCATAGATGCTTATGTTTTGTTTTCCCTGTTCCCATCTTCTCCCCAGGCAACCAACACAATATTCTGCCTTGCAGAGCTACTTAAATTCTGCAGAATAGAGGTTTAGAAGTTGCTGTGTCTCACAGAAACTCAGTTTCCCTTTTGAGGAAGGAGGAGGCAGAGAGGAAGAAAGATAGAAAACAAAATGGCAGGCCAGAAACTGTGTAGAAAAAAGCAGAATATTTAGTGGCCACATACGGTACAAATCTGAAATTTTACGGTATCTTGACACTCAATGAGAGTGGAATTTTTGTACAATTTTAGGAGTGTTTAGTTGATATCCTCTACATCTCAGTTACTTTTAAGTAATGCAGCATGATAAAATGAGATGGGCTATATAACAACCTAATGGAGTTTGATAAATTATTATACGGGAGTAAATACATTGTCTTCATCCAAAGAATTCTTTAATCATATCTGGTTCTCATTTTACTGTCTAAGTTAGAGTACTGGCATTCACTTAAAGATACAAAATGTATATGGCGCTCTAGTTGAAAAATGCATATATGTTATTTACAATTTATCATGTGCAAATACTAGTGGGCAGCATTCTGGTCATGCACGCAGCTTCGGCCTTTCAGCACTTTGTTCTTACAACTCTCTGTAGGAATTGCAGAATTCTACTCCTTCATGTATGCGCTTCTAATATTGTTCTTGAAAGACGTCAGTTATTGAGGCCTGGTTATTTTAGCAATTTGCTGTCACTTGGTGAGAGATGCAGCTCATGAAACAAAACAGAATGGAGACTTTATTCCCCTGCCATTGTTGCTGGACCTGTGGGGTTTTTCCACAACGAAAGCATCCTATCATTGATAATTCTGTGCCCTTAAAATAAGCCATTTCATATTACTGAAAATCATTTATGCTTTAAAAACATTGTCAGATGGCTAGGATCAATGTCATGTAAACTTCTGCCTCTGTAGACAGAAGAAAATATATTTGTTGTCTAATCCATTGGGCTGTACCCACAAGCTCACATTCATAGCCCTGCAGTCCTTTGAGACAAGACAGCTTGCTTCTAGTTTTTGGTTTCAGGTCCTGGAGTTATTTTTGCTTATGAAACCACAGATTAGCTGGCATTGGGTTTTGTGGTTAGGTATCCAACTACAAATACGTGAAGACCATTTTGTTGCTGAAGCTGCCTCTTAAAAAAAGAAAGTCAAGTAGAGTAACAGCTTTAGGGAACTGCTTATGTTGCCTGCTGCTTGCTTCTTCTCCATCATTAACCACACGGAGGGATCTCATACTCACAGAGAAATCGAGTAGTGGGAGTCATGCTGTTAACATTTTTAGATATCCCACTGCTTTTGTATGAAACTTCAGAAGATAAATTTAGTGGAATTTGGCAAAGGGAAACTTACAAATGTCTTCGATTTGCATTTAAACAGATTTCTTTTTGTCTGCATTTAACAATGTTTCTTATAGTGTTAAAAAAAAATTGAATTGCTATTTTTATTCCTTCTGCATTTTTTTCTGTCTACAGGGGAATATAGTGGTAGCCTTTGATAGAGAGGAAGATATCTTTTATTAAACACAATTTTTTTTAAATAATGGCAACTAACTAAGGCAACTTTCTATAGAAAAGTTATTTAAATTGATTACACAGTGAAGCTTATCTTTTGTGAAATCTTGTGGACTGTATGGCTAAAGACAACTAACTGATACAAGTTTTGCTGAGACATTTTTATTTAAGAAAACAAAGAACTTTCTGATATGTGAATATTATAGTTGCTTTTTGTTTTGGTATTTTATGCTTTCTGCTGACCGTTGCCCATGGAAAATGGAACCTTTTTGTAGGTATAAAAATTTCAGTTGTTCTGAAATTTAAAGGTTCTTCTGAAAGTTCATTATTTTTATTCTAGAATACCAGGAATTAAGAGAGTACTTCTTTTCTGGAACATAAGAGTGTTTTTTGTTGGGGGAAAAAAGCTGTGTTTGGTGTGCACTGTCAAATAGGATGATCTGTTGGTAGTGTGCTGGTTATCCTTGGTGGCAGCGGAGTCATTTCATGTGAAACGTAATGTTGGTGTACATAAAATATCCTTGACATGTATACAGTTGGTGTGTTTCGTTTGTCCCGATCAGCATTTGGTAATTAATAGTTTCCTGCTGTGAACTTGGAGGAAAACAGACCTTGTTCTAATTTCTCATTTCTTTCCTCTTCCTATTCTCCCTTCAATTAGGATCATCTCGTAAAGAGATCACGAAGCATTGGGAATGGCTGGAGAATAACTTACTGCAGACTCTATCCATCTTTGATAATGAAGAAGATATCACCACCTTTGTCAAGGGCAAGATACATGTAAGCGACACGTTTCCCCGAAGGATTTCCAGATTGTGAGAAAGAATGGGGAGATGGTTTTAAGAATTTTTTTACCCTTGGGAGGGAGGGAGCAAGAGCTCCATTGCAAAACTTCTCTCTGCTCCCTTTTCAGACATACATTCATTTGGAATTGGCATGGAATGCGTACAGTGTTATCAGCATCATGTAATAGTCATAACACTGGACTAATGTGTTTGGGGGGGGAAAGGTTAGGAGCAGTAGATCTCGAGGAACAGCCTGCTTAGGTTGCTTCTACTAAATAAAATGTGGTACCTCTTTAAAATCCTTGCCAATTATACCTTTGATACAGAGAGAATGTTTAACAAGGGTTCATCTAGCAACAAATACATGAGAGAGAATTCTAGTTTGCATACCATGTACTTGCCCTGCCTCGGTGGTCTAAAAGGTATCTAGGTTGTAAAGGACCCCAGCTTCCACTGACTTCTTGAGTCAGACAGGTGTCTCTGCTTGTTGTGCAGTTAACACACTTCAGATTCCCAGCCCACAAATTCTCCAGAGTAGAAACTATAAATACAGTTTTTTACTGAACAGCAGTAGTTTCAGTCTTTTCTAGTACTCCCTTCAGTTTCTTGCGATTTTCTCTGTGTGTGAGAGAGATTGTCGTCACGTTTCCTTCTGGTCAGTCAAGATCTGACAGACTGTGGAGTTCTGCCCTTCCTGGCAGATGATCTTCTTCCTGTTGAAGAAGCATGTTTGCAAGTGAAAACAGACTTCAGTTTTCCTGCAGGGTGTTCAGAGTGTTACCAGGCCAGCTGTGAGAAACTCAGTCAAACGTTAAACATGAATGCTTGCTGCACACCTTCAGCAGCAGATCCCAGATCGTAGACTTCCCGACTATCTGACTGCTCTTTCTACATTTCTTTTCTATTTCTCTGACATGACAGGAGAAATGATAACTGCTGTGTCGTATTTCTTCTTTCTGTCTTCGGATTGCTGCTGTGGCCTTTTGCTGTATATTATGTCTGTCAGCAGGTGTGTTCGCTTCCATTTCTTATCTCTCTCCTCCCATGTCCTTTCAGGGAATAATTGCTGAAGAGAACAAGAATGAGCAGCCCCAGAGTGAGGAGGATCCAGGTAAATTCAAAGAGGCTGAACTGAAGATGCGGAAGCAGTTTGGGATGCCTGAGGTGGAGAAGTTGGTCAATTACTATTCCTGCAGCTATTGGAAGGGGCGTGTACCCAGGCAGGGTTGGCTGTACCTCACCGTCAATCACCTCTGTTTCTACTCCTTCCTGCTGGGCAAAGAGGGTGAGTTATAAGCCTGCTAGATGTTTTTCTGCAATTTCCCATGATCTTTTTGATGCAATTGGTCTTTTGTATGTACTTTTTTTTAAGCTGACAGTTTTTTTCCTTTTAGGAATCCTTTGAGTTCTAGCTCAACGCATAGATCAGTCCTTGCACTCATAGGCACTTCAGTGATGTTTAGACTGAATGCCTGAGTCATTTCTCAAAACATTTCTCAAGTTGTACAAGTACACCTGAAGTTTTACTTCAACTGGATTAGAGAACCAAGCAATATTTTTACCTTGGTGAGTTTTATTTGGAACCACCGCCAGGACCCAGTATTTACAAAGCTTGAACTCCTGAGTCCAAAGCTAATTTGCTGTAAGGAAGGAATGAAAACTGAAGTAATTGTGGTTGAAAACATTTACTAGATGGGAGATAGTCCATTTGGAACTGCATTATTTCTAGTCTAGTTAATCCCAAAGATTATTTCCAAGTATTTTTTGAGAACCCAGTAAAAGTATGAAGAAAAGAATTGTCTGTATGTAAGAGCGGAAAAATGCTGCTACATTGAGAGCTTACTTGCTGCTTGAATTTAATTTCTGTTTGTTTGTTTTGCCTCAAATCATAATAGTAGGGTTTTTTTAAACTTTTTTCCCAGTGACTCTGGTGATCCAGTGGGTGGATGTAACCCAGCTAGAAAAAAATGCTACACTGCTGTTCCCTGAGTGCATTAAAGTAAGCACAAGGGACAGTGAACTTTATTTTTCCATGTTTCTCAACATCAACGAGACATTCAAGCTGATGGAGCAGTTGGCTAACATTGCTATGCGGCAGCTATTGGATAATGAGAGCTTCCTACAGGACAAGTCCCTCCCAAAGCCCAGGAAGCCTCTTAAGAACATCTCTGCATTAAAAAGGTATGTGTTTCCAGCAGTGTCATGGTTTAACCCGGCTGGCAACTAAGCACCATGCAGCCGCTTGCTCACTCCCCCCCTCCCTCAGCGGGATGGGGGAGAGAATCAGGAAGAGGAGAAGACAGATAACGGGGATTGTAATACTAAATCTGCGTTACTGCGTAGCTCCCGGGTGCCACTGGGGTTTTCTCACTCTAGGGGCTGTATCACTTATTTCAATCATTAGCCCTCTGCCTATTCCTTTTTTTTTTTTTCCCGTCCCGAATTAGTACTGAGTTTACACACACACTCATGTCTTTCTCATGCATGGACTAGGCACTGTCAGAAGGAATTTTCAACTAGAAACTGTTGAAAATCCTGTTTTTTTTAAAAAAAAAAGTCAAAAGAAAATTACATCAGCCCCTTTGCCTGAAGTTGAAGATTTATAAAAAATAATACACATGTGTAAGTCCTCCCCCTAGGGACTGTTCTCTGCAGTTTCAGAGTCTGATGTAATGTGTAAGTTTTGCAGATGCACTTGCATATTTTATCTTGTATTGCAGGACATATCTTGTCAGTGAAGCATGTCTGAAGGTTAAAAGAGAAGTCAGATAAGGGGTGGCATCTCAGTTAGAGAAATGAATACTAAGAATACACAGCACAGTCTGAAGGTTGTGATTGGAATGAACACTTGCCATTACTGTTTGAGTGGGTTTTTCAAGTGAGGACAAAACCTCTGGGGACTACTCTTTACTTTTCCCCAGAGACCTGGATGCTCGAGCCAAAAATGAGTGCTACCGTGCCACCTTCCGGTTGCCCAAGGATGAATGCTTAGATGGACATACAGACTGTACCTTGTGGACACCATTCAACAAGATGCATATTCCTGGCCAGATGTTTGTTTCCAACAATTACATCTGTTTTGCCAGCAAGGCAGAGGAGGCCTGTCATCTCATCATTCCTCTCAGGGAGGTGAGAATTTCTTAGCTGTACATTAAGACTACAGGCCTTTCTTGTCTTTTGTGTGCTTCCAGCTTTTGTTCAGTGCTTTATAGTGGAGAATCTGCTAGATTGAAACAGCCCTTGTTTTTGTCTTCTAGGTGACAATAGTTGAGAAAGCAGATAGTTCCAGTGTCTTGCCCAGCCCTCTGTCCATCAGCACTAAAAGTAAAATGACCTTCTTCTTTGCCAATCTGAAAGACCGAGATTTCTTGGTACAGAGAATCTCTGACTTCTTGCAGAGAACGCCATCCAAGAAACCATGCAGCAGCGACAGGGAATGGAAGTGGAATTTGGCTGATCCTGGTTGCGAGGTACTAATGAAATAGCTGAGAGGAGCATTTGAATTTTTCAGAGTAATGCTCCTTACACTGTATTAACAGTGCTCATTTACCAGCAAATTATGTCTCTTTGTTAGGCAGTTAGCAGAGGAGGGAGGCTGCCTGAGCTCTGATGCTTTATGTTCTGTTGTTCAGGAAGTTCCAGAGTTGCCTGCCAGCAGCCCACTTGCAGTTAGCCCCACATCTGCTCTCAGCAATCGACCTGTCAACTTCTGTGCCGGGGAAGTGCCAACAGCCTCACAGGGACTACTCAAACTCTTCAGAAGAAATTCTGAGGAACTCTTAGGACCCAAAGGGGTAAACAATATTTTAACTTAAATCAATTAACTCTGGTTTGCAGTAGGTTGCAGATTTCCTGTCCTGCTCTAAGACTCTGAAAATGCATTTTATCCCTGGTCAGTCCTGCTGTATCACTACTGTGTCGTGTCACAATGATAGTGCTGCATAGATGTAACCTGACCGTCAGCTTACTTTATCAGTACTGAGATACCTGAGATACTTGACTAGAGAGTGAGAAATTGGTGTTACTGTGCTCCTGGTATGTAAATCCATGTCTGTGAAGAACTACTTCAGATCAAGGAAGCAGAAAACTGGTATCTCTGCTTGCTTGCTAGTTAATAGTCTTAGACTATGGTTCTGCTTGCATTTATGTAGAGATTTGCAAGGTGTAATGCCATTGCACAGCCCATATTAGTATTGTAAAGACTTGACTTTATGCAAGGTCAGAACTGATTCAGAACAGTGTAGAATAGCATACAGCCTTTTTATTTGTCAGGAAGAAGAAAGGCTTTGAATGTCACAGTGCATTTCTCTTGTGAGGTGTAGGCCTGAGTATACCTAGAAATCACCTGTCCTACAAACATAAAAATACACTAATCTCCTAAAATGGCCATATTTGTTCCTGTGAAGGCAAAGGAGAAGATGAAGGAAGAGTCTTGGAAAATTCATTTCTTTGAATATGGGCGAGGGATGTGTATGTATCGCACTGCCAAGACTAGGGAGCTGGTGCAAAAAGGGATCCCAGAGAATCTTCGTGGAGAGCTGTGGCTCCTTTTCTCAGGTACGAGGTTGTGCTGGATACTTTGACAGCTAGCAGGAATAAGCTTTCTGCACATCTCAGAGGAAAAAGTATAAAACTTAACTCATTTCAGAAGAAATTAATCACAGGTTAACTCCATCTGAATGATACTTCATGGTGTTTTTGCCAAAATGCAGTGATCGCATTCCTGAGGTGACTTTCTTTATGAGCGTAGTAGCTCTTTGGCCTCCTTTGTCTGCATTCCAGTGTTGGGACCTAGATTCTAACCTGATGATTTAACACTGAGTTTGTTACACCTATTTGTAGTTGGTGAGTTCATGTAGTGCTTCCTGGCTGCCTCTTCTCTGAAACTGTGGGCATAAAATCTGTATTCCAAAGCTCAGGAGGTGAAGCAGTACTTGTTTGTCATTACAGGGGCTTGGAATGAGATGGTGACTCATCCTGGTTACTATGCAGATCTTGTGGAGAAGTCAATGGGAAAGTACAATCTTGCTACAGAGGAAATTGAGAGAGATCTGCACCGTTCTATGCCAGAACATCCTGCCTTCCAGAATGAGTTGGGAATTGCTGCCCTCCGGAGAGTCTTAACAGCTTATGCATTCAGAAATCCAACAATTGGGTACTGTCAGGTAAGAAAGAAGTCTTAGACTTGTTAGTCCTACACAGTGACCATGACCGACTTGTACTTTTTCTGCAGTTTTTTGTTCACTTTCAAACGTTCCCTTCATTCTGTCTGTATGTGAGATTAGGAAAGAAGTGATAACGTTGCAAGATCTCTTAACTATCCTTTGGATACAGCATTTATATAGACTTTGCACATTTCTGTTAGGTATAACGACACTCTCTTTTACTAGTTTTCCTGCTAGAGCTTTTCCTAGTTCAGCAAAAACATCTTTTGGTTTCATTAAAAAGAGCAATTAGGTTGAATCAGTGTTGATGCACATGGGCAGCATATTGAAAATAAAGCCAGTTGCTCATTCGTGAAACAACTCAGTGGAAATTCACATTAATTTTGCTCTGGTGTTAGAGGTTCTCATTATGTTGTTCTGTTATGACCAATTTGTTACAAAGCTTTTTATGAAAACTTTTTAAGTTATACTTAGTCACATTGATTAATGAAATTGCTTGACAAAAAGTAGTTACATGATTTGCTGCCTCACACAGAGGAACTGAAACAGGAAGGTGAATTGGCTCAAGGTCATCTATTGACTCAGATACCAGTAAAAACTGGAAACAGATATGACTCTCAGTGACAATTTCACTGTATTCATGCTTTTTAAGTTTAGCCGGTCTGTAATGACAGAGCTTTCATTAACATCTTCATGTTTCTCTCCTGTATCTGCATATTTAACTCTGCCGGCTCGTAGGCCATGAACATTGTTACATCAGTACTGTTGCTATACTGCAATGAGGAAGAGGCTTTCTGGCTCCTAGTGGCTTTATGTGAGCGGATGTTGCCAGATTACTACAACACAAGAGTAGTGGGTGAGTCTTTGTCAAATTCATGCTAGAGCCTGAATTTTCAGCTACGGGTGCACCAGCATCTCTCAGGAACATTCTGTTGTTCAGAGTGAATTAAATGTGATGCGTTTTAAAGATGATGAAGCACAACCGTGTTCCCTTTAAAGTTGCAGGTGTGTGATGGAGGCGTAGGAAGAGACACTACAGGCTGCCAAGGTAGTAGCACTACCTTGTAGTAACAAGGAAGATGAAGTCACTAAAAATCGGTAGCAGGAGGGACCATTAGCAGTAAGGAGGCATATCTAGAAGAAAATTATTGGGTTATTTTTTACCCATCTGAATGATGTATTAAATATTTGGAGTAGGCTCCCAGGAAAGGTTAGTGAAAGCACCACTTCATGGGCTTTTAAAGTTGGTCTGTATAAAAAAAAAATAAAGAAGTTTGATTTAAATACCATAATATCAGTATCCCTCCTTTCAGGGAGAACGCATAGATCAATGAGAGATTCTGTTTCTGTGTGCTGTGCAATGTAGGAACAGTCTCTATCTAAACATGTTGGGTTTATTGAGAACAGGGAACAAATTAATTAAATGTGTTAATCTTAGTTCTGATGTTAAGAGGCTTATATGAAATTAAAGTGAACTTAGGCTATTTTGTTTAATAATTGATTAGCTTGGGTATAGTACCATAATATCACCAGGGTATAGTACCATGATACCACCAATTAGAGTTCTATGATTGTTTTTGGTATTTTTTCCCAGGTGCATTGGTGGACCAAGGCATCTTTGAAGAACTTACACGAGAGTATCTTCCACAGCTGTCAGAAAAGATGCAGGAGCTGGGAGTGATTTCCACCATATCCCTTTCCTGGTTTCTCACTCTCTTTCTCAGTGTCATGCCCTTTGAGAGTGCCGTGGTCATTGTTGACTGCTTTTTCTATGAGGGAATCAAGTTTATCTTGCAGGTGTCATTGGCCATACTTGATGCCAACATGGAGAAGTTGTTACAGTGCTGTGATGAAGGTGAAGCCATGACTATTCTGGGCAGGTACCATTCATTGTTCTTATTTATAACGAACAGTAATGGTATAACAGCTGAAATTAATTTTTGGCTTAGCTACGGAGTAATCCCATATTTTTGGAATTGTTTGCTTTGCAGCATAATGCGTTCCTGCTTCTCAGTTTGAATTTGTACTCTGAAGGGTTGTTTATCCAAAATTCACAGAAGAATTATGATACACTATTAAGAACATATCCTGGCAAGAATCTTACTCTAGAAACAGAAAACTTTTTCAAGCAGGTATCTCCCAAGTCTAGCAAACATAAGATTTTCTTGTTTGAGATGTGAATCTCTTCTATGTGCAGCAAGATCTTCAGCTTACTACTTGAAGCCCACTTGAAAAAGAGTAGATACCCCATAAATAGGGTGAAAATCAACTTTACTTCAGATACATTGAGGGTAGCATTGCAAGTTACCTGGGAAAAACTAAATTTTCCTGCATGTTTAGATTAATGATACAAAGAAGTTGGGAATGATGTGGTCAGGATATTACGTCTTTTCTTGGACACTAATCCTGGAGTCTTACATCTGTTCTGTTTTTTCCCCACAGATATTTGGACAACGTAGTTAACAGACAGAGCGTTTCCCCCCCTATTCCCCACTTGCACGCCTTATTGACGAGTGGGGATGACCCGCCACTTGAAATTGACATCTTTGAACTCATCAAAACTTCCTATGAGGTAAGGGTCTGGCTTAGTTTTTGACCAAGAGATTTTTCTGTACTAACATCCAGTCTTATACTTTGTACAACCTGAATTTGAACATCGTTCATAGCTTGAGGTGTTCAAGGAGTGCAGGCCCAAGCCATTAATCTTCCTGTTTAGTATGAGAAGAGCCTAACACTGTTGGCTGTTGTGGATTGCGAAGAGTCTCCCCACAACCAGTGGAGACAAAAACAAAAACCGCAAATAAGTGAAAATTACAGACCAGAGATTTCTTCCTGCTTTGCCAAAAAAATCTTCATTCTTACTTGTACGTGAGGATTGTCAGCACTAGGGAGTTGGGGAGGGAAATTCAGGGTAAAAATTGTGAGGTATACTGCAGAAACAAGGAAGCATCCCAGTTCGTGTGCACAGGAATCCTGTTCTGGGATCCACTTTATAGTAATAGGAATGTGACCCAAGAATGGTGCCAATGCTGTTGAAATACCTCTGCACTACTGGAGGTGTACCTCATTATTCATAGTGAGAACAAAGTCATAAGAAGTTTGTATCTGAATGATGGAAAGAACATAAGCAAGAGAACTGGCATTTGGCAGTTCTCTGATGTGCTGTAGTAAATGTGGATTCATTTCCCTTTGTATCTCCTGTTCTTCATCCTGTCCCCTTCCAGCTGCTTACAGTCAGGCAGCTATCATTTTGCTGGGTATTCTGTTTGTTTCTTCAAATCTACCATCTCTGTTCTTGGTTTCTTTTATAAAAGAGTGTCACCAAATTCATCTTACTTGTCTGACCTAGTCAGTAGAAAAGCCTGTTAACTTTGGTGTATCTAGCTGAACCTCATATGGGTCCTATTAAAAAGCAGGGCTGGAAGGAGTGATGACCTGTCTATTCCCTTATCTCTGCCACAGTACCGGATCTGTATTTCTGTCAGTCCTGACAGATGCTTTTTCAGCTGTTCTTTAGAAACCTCTGATGCTGGATTTCTCATGAATTCTGAATGACTTTTCTGGCAGGACAGGGGTGAATAGGGAATAGAGCTCAATTTTTTTTCTCATCTTTTTGGTGCTGGTAAAAGGCTTCTAGGGGTTTTAGATAATCTCTGAGGGGATAGTACACTTGTTAAAGAACATGTAATTGAACAGGAGTTCAATTTCTTTAGGAGATAATGTTGACCTGTTCTGCTTCCTTTCTTGTAGAAATTTAGCAATTTGAAGGCAGATGACATTGAACAAATGCGTTTTAAACAAAGGCTGAAAGTGATCCAGTCTCTGGAGGATACAGCCAAGAAGAGTGTGGTATGTGAATCCCAGACTGAAGGCTACCAAATGGCATGTTAATGGAATGTGTTTTGCTGTAAGCATCTAGGAAGTTTGCCCTGTAGCAGACCCAGTTTTAAGTGACTTAAAGAATTGCAGTTAATGTGAAAGAAATGGATTTACTGGGTGGAAAAAATGGATTTTCAGTTCTCTTCTTTACATGGTTCTAGTTAACGTAGTAAACTGGATTGAAATGCTAGGACATGATCAAATGAGATATTTGGTATGGAAGGAGATGAAAAACACTTGTAGGTCTTGTAGTAGTCTCTACTGCCTAGCGCTACCTGTTTTACTGCTTGCCTGGAATCTTTGAGAAAAGCTAGCTAGCAGATAATTATTCTCCTGCCATTTAATGAGCATGCTAACACATTAGGGAGTTTTACAGAAGGGTTCATGGCCAAAAGGGAGTACCCACATCTACTGCAATTATCTCCCATGTCCTAGATGGAGAACCTCATCCATGTGTTTCTTTCACTGTTGTTTTTCATTGCATCTGAGTCAAACATGTGAAGATAAAAACAAGAAGGAGGGGCAACACTATCTGCAGAGTCAGGTCTGCACAAACAGGAAATAAGTGCAGTAATTTTTTCTAGCTGCTCAAAATGTCAGCAGTTTCTGACCAGAAACTGTCTTCCTGACCTGTAATCCATAGCAATGGCGGGTATTGGAATGGTTAAGTTTTTCCCTCCTGTCCCGTGTCATATCTCCTTGCACTTGTTCTCTTCTATGTTACACAGATTTTTCAGTGAGCTTTGAAATAAATTGTTCGCTCTCTTTCCTCCCTAACTATAGGTCCGAGCTGTGTCTAGTGACATTGGTTTCTCTATTGAAGAACTAGAAGAGCTGTATGTAGTGTTCAAGGTAAGAAGCTAGAGTGAGGAAGAATGTGTTCTGACACAGAGAGAACAAATCAAAATAAGTTGAAAGGGAAGCAATGACTTAGGTTGGATTAAGAATCAAAGCAATCAGAAACAGATGTTGCATTCTGTTATACGTGGTTATACATGATACCAGTGAGAGTGGCCCTATTACTCTCTGATTGATTCTGCCTGCCCCCCCGCCCAAAGATGGCCAAAACACATTCACAATATTTGAATGATACTTACTCAGAAAGAGATTGTGGAGTCAATGGAAAAGAATGTCGCAAAGGACTTGGGGAGCTAGGGTTGACTGTACCTCAATTTTTATTCTCAAGTTTGCCATCAACTTGCTCTGTAATTGTGATAAAATTACTTAAGTGCTCTGCCTCTGTTTGTCAATATATGTGTTTTAAAAAGAGCAATATTACCCAATGGCATTTACCAAAGTCACTGCGAACTCAGTTGCACTGTGGTGTAGACTCAGAAGGAGAGGCTTAGTTCTAAAACCTGCACGTTCCCTTTGCAGTAAAGCCTGAGTGTCTTTTCATTCAAACTTGAAATCATGGGGTTTGTATTTTTCACTTAAAATTGTTCTTTGTGCTTTTAGTGAAAACCCTGTCTCTTCCTTCATTTCGTATTATTTTGTAGTGAAGTAACACTAGGAATAATGGGGGAGATAAACAGTGTGTCCTGAAATGCCTCTTCTCTGCTTACTCAGTTATATTCTTGAGCTACAACAAAGTCTCCATTCCTGTGGATTGTTGTAGTGTAGTACAATCTGACCTATTAATCCTTTCCCTCCAAAGGCAAAGTATCTGATGAGCTGTTACTGGGGAAATAATCGTGCTGCAGCTGCCCGCCGAGATCAGAGTTTACCCTACCTGGAGCAGTATCGCATAGACATGGAGCAGTTCAAAGAGCTGTTCATCAGTTTGACCCCCTGGTCCTGTGGCGCACATACGCCTGTGCTAGCAGGGCGTTTGTTCCGGCTTCTGGATGAGAACAGGGATTCTCTCATTAACTTCAAGGAGTTTGTGACAGGGATGAGTAAGTGGTGTTTTTGGAGATGATGGAATATTGCAAAAATTGTTTCTGTCCTTTTCCAGGCAGAGAACTAAAAGGAGATAGTGATGTTTGCACTGTCGTGAGGGGAGGGTGACAGCCTTACAGGAAGTCTCGGGCAGAACAAAAGATGCCTTTTTGCTGCTATGCAGTCTCCCGTTTTGGGAAACGATAGGTGGCAAACCAACAAGATGCAGTTTTGCTGTAGATTTCTTTACTGCTTCTGCACAGGGCTTTGTGCGGTTAGTGTTTCCTCGTTGCATGTGAACTCATTCTGGTTTGAGTCTGTGAGCAGAGGGTGATTCTTTATCCTAATTGCTACTTTCTTAACCTTTTTTTTTTTTCCCTTTGCAGGTGGCATGTACCATGGTGACCTCACTGAAAAACTCAAAGTACTTTACAAACTGCATCTGCCTCCTGGTGAGTGATTGCTTTCATGTATTGCTGCTGTTGAACACGGTCTGTTCTAACATGCAATTGAAAAGAATTAATTTTGCTACTGAAGAGGGTGATGCTGCTGTTCAGTTAGCTTAGAGGTCTTAACATTTCCTTCTCTGTAAATACAGCTCTGAATCCAGAGGAGACAGAGTCTGCTTTGGAGGCCACAAGTTATTTCACAGAGGATGTTACAACAGAAGGTAATACAACACTGCTGCCTTTACCTCTCAGTTTAGGCAGGAGTTGTACTGCCACAAATCCATGTGCTATGAATAGTGACTTTGCAAAGCATGGTCTCGTGGTGGCAGTATGTTAAGATTGCCAGTGTGATTGAGTTTGCCATCTTTTTGCATGATGGGAAAGAAGTTTGGAGCTTCAACTGCTCGGTGCCCATTTCATGCAGGACCCTTCTCTGAAGCACAGTTACAGACTGCTTAGGAGGAGCAGTGTGCTTTTTACCAGCCCCTGTCTCCCACCATGATTTAGGTTTTTCATGCAAGTCTCATTGTCTCTCTTCTTGTTTTTGTTTCCTTTTCTGTGTCTGTCTGTGTCTGGCCTTTTCTTCTGTTTTATCTGGGATATTGTCCCCTCAACCCCTTTTTCTGCTGCTCAAGTATCTCCTTTTGTCTCAGAGCTGGATTTCTGCCTGCACTGTGAGTCTCAAGGTCAGTCCATGGGTTATGTGCATGCATTGAGCATGGCTATAATGCTGATATCATCCACCAGCACTAATGTACTACTTGAAGTACTCTGAAGTTGCTGCTGCTCCTCTCTCATGATACTCCTACTATGAATAAAGTGCTATAAGTAATTAGATACCTTTCAGTATATTCTGCCTATTTTGTTTCAACCTTGATCAAAATAGGTTTTGTCCAGCTTCTGTCAGGGGAGTTTATCTCGGCCTAGAAACTGGTGGGAGGAAAATACACTCAGAGCAGAGTGGGGGGTGCTGGGCTTGCTGGCCTGGGTAGGTGATACCTGTGCCTCCTCCACAGTCTTCTAATTTAAAGGAATAAGGATGCATGCCATTGAATTGTAAAACTGTTAGTAGACTAATTTACTTTATTTCTTAAAATATAATTTTAGGGATTGTGAAATAGGAGGTGAAAGTATGTCATTTGTGCTAAATGTTTACCAAGACATAATAACGCTCAAAAAAAATTTGAGTGAGTAAGTAGTTGTGCTGTTTGGTGCTAGATGGCTAACTTAACAGACTGAGTTGAGCGAATATTTCCTATAAAGTCTAGTGACAATACAGGGAACCAGAAGCGAAGTTTGTGAAGTTAGACTCTGCAAATTACTCCCAAAGTGTCAGTTCAGTCAGTGAATAATGGTCAGTGTAGATACTAGTCACCTATGTGCTCAGTGGTGGTTTGGGTTTTTTCCATTTGTTATCTTGCTTTGGATAACTTAACTTCTTTGTTAGCCACCACACTGCTTAGCTGTCTTCCACATCTGTGTTTCATCCTCTTTTAAGAGTTCTGCCCTCTGCCTCAGGTTTTCAACCCAGTTTTTCAGTGTGGCCTTTTATCCAGTTCATCCCATCAGCCTTTTGCTTCCATCCTGTTCCGTTCATTCCTCCAAACATGATGTGGGATTGTGAGATCTTAACTTCCATTAAATATGTTCTTGTATGATTTTAATTTGTATATGAGTTTTCTTATGTTCTTCATATGTTGTATTGCTGAAAACCAACTATTAATCATTCTTTTATAATTCCATAATTTTTTAGAAACCCAAGAAGATAAAGGAAGGAGAAATGAGAATGGTCCAGAAAAAGGTAATTTCATCATAAAGAGACCATATTCCAGTCTTGTCTCTCTCGTATTATGAGCTGTTCATTGTCCTTTGCTGTATCAAAGAGACTTTTCAAAGTGCCCCATGTGGCACTTTGAGGTAAAGTGGGATGTGAACCAGGAAATAAATCTCTCTTATGCCTTACTGCTCTGACTCTTCTACATACCAAGATCATCATATTTGTAAATCATGTTTGGTAAGTTGTCAACTCATAGAGTTCATTTATGAGAAGTCAAGCTGATGAAGCAGTGTTAAAATTTTTGCTTTGCTGAGATGGATCAGACAAACCAGCATAAGACAATGCAGCCTTCCTGGTAGCTGCTTTCCTGAACTGTCAATAAAACCTGCTTCCAGCATGATTTTTACTGGCACAGCATTCACTTTTTAAGTCTGGAACCATTAACCACCTGACAGTGGTGGCTTCGTGTTGCCTTGCAGAGGAGAAGGGTACCAGTCCACAGGACTACAGATACTACCTAAGAATGTGGGCCAAGGAAAAAGAGTCCAAGAAAGAAACTATTAAAGATCTCCCCAAAATGAGCCAGGTAAGAAGTGAATGTAAAGGTTTCCAGTTAATTGACTGACAGCTTAGTGGGGAATTCAGCAGTATGTGCAGCCATTTTGCCAGCATACTCAGTCCTTGCCTGTAGATTGCCCTGCTGTTCTGGTCTAGTGAGCTTTAGAAGCCTCTAATTCCACACGTTTGTGTTGAATTCCTCAGTGGACATGGACAAACTGCTTTGTTTCCACCAATCAAATGTACTTGATTCTCTCTGCCTCCCAGTCCAACTTTTCCTTTAAGAACTGCAATCTATGCTTTCCCTCGAGAGCCATATGTTTCAAATACGCCATCAGTCATGTAAACTTGTTTGGCTTTTTTGGTTTTTCATTGCCTTGAGTTACAGCTGCCTGGTGGACAGCAAAGAATGTGGTTACAGGAAAGAGTCTGATGACTCGTGTGATCTTTTCTGTCTCTAATTTCCTTTATGGGTGCTACTTAAACCAGTTTGGAAATGCTTAAAAGCTGACCACAAAAGAGTAGCAGGACAGAAGTGAAATTTCAAGTTTTCTCAGATGTGAATATGTGTTCATCTGTCAGCAAAAAACCCCGCCACTATTAAATTGTTAGCTGTGTCTCAATTTAGCTGCTACAGCAGAGAGAGGAGAGTTTGCCTGTACTGGACTGTTCTGAAGCAGTGCAATAAGTTGCCACTTATTTGTTGGGGAGGCAGATAAACAAGGAGTCAGTCAAGATGGTGCCTATTGCTTCATGGTTTTGTTTTAGGTAGTTCTGCGAGGAGCAGGGAGTTGGACTCTGATCCTTATGGGTCCCTTCCAACTTGGGATTGATTCTATGATCTGCCACTGTCAACTTTTTTCAGCCTGAAGTATGATTTTTTTGGTCTTTGTCTTTTAAAGGAACAATTCATAGAGTTATGCAAGACCCTTTACAACATGTTCAGTGAGGACCCAGTGGAGCAAGAGTTGTACCATGCAATTGCCACTGTAGCCAGCCTCCTTCTGCGAATTGGGGAGGTTGGGAAAAAATTCTCCAACAAGCCCATGAAAAAGTCTGAGGACTGCAAAGCAAACAATACCCAAGATCCTGTGAGTGAAGAGGAGTCACCAACATCTGAACAGAGTCAGAATTCAGCAGTGGAGCAGCAACCCCAAGCTGACCATGAGGACAAAACCTGTGGAGATGCTCAGCCTGAAAAAACACAGCAGGAAAACCAAACTCTAGGAGATGGGTCAGGGGAAGGACAAGGCTCTCCTTTACAGCTGCTATCAGATGATGAAACCAAAGATGATATGTCCATGTCTTCCTACTCCATGGTCAGCACAGGCTCCCTGCAGTGTGAAGACATTGCAGATGACACGGTCCTCGTTGGTTGTGAAGGCAGTAGTTCAGCTGCCAGGTATGGTAGTACCATTGATACTGACTGGTCTATCTCATTTGAGCAGATCTTAGCTTCTGTGCTGACAGAAACAGCCCTTGTAAACTACTTTGAGAAGAAGGTCAACATTCTGCAGAAGATCAAAGATCAGAAGAAAGTAGAGAGGCAGTTCAGTTCATCCAGTGACTATGAGCTTTCTTCCGTGTCAGGGTGAACTCAAGAAAGCAGAAATTGTCTTTGGGAGATAAAACAGGGAGATAATGTGGCAGATGGCAGGATGGTTTGGTATTTTATGTTTGGGGTATTTTTTGTGTTTAATCAGAGACCAGTAACTACACAATTACAATAGATTCCAATCGATAAGGGGCTTCTGACAGTGACTCTTTTGTGTAGGTGCTGCTTTGGCTACTCCGGCTGACAGAATTAGATTCACATTCTTGAGAGCCATTAGAACATAATAGCCCCTGACATATAGAATTACCACCATAAATTCTGCATGTCGGCCTTTTGCTATCTTTTATTTTAATGAAGTTTTATTTCAGACAGTAACCGCTCCTTGCCTGCCCTTGTTTGCTGTAGGTTCCTGGGTAACTTGCACAGCAGATGCAGCCTGGCTTGAAACCACGTTCCCCTTTGGCTGCCAGTCTGAGGGCTAACGCAGTGTAGTCAAGCGCTATAGGACCCTGACCTATAAATAGTCTTGTAAGTTCTTCAGTGCTGTTCTGTGACTCAGCAGCTGTAATGCAGATGTGCCCCACTGCTCCCAGCACCCTAAGGTCTAAACACAGACATTTCTCAGATCTGCAGGTTTCTTTCAGATGTGATTTGGCATTTTCATAGTGTATGACCACCTTTTCTTCTCCTTCAGCATTCAGGAGTTTTTTAGACAAACCTGGTTTTCTTGCATTTGCTTTTCTAATTCTTGGAAAGCCATTGGTTTTAGTTGGTCTGGGAAGCCACAAGCTCCTTGACTTCGGTGCAGAAGTAATATTAAGTCAATCAACGGGCTCATGATGGTTATAATGAGGGAATAAGTTCCTAAATTAGAAGTCGGTGAATCAGCCTCAGTGTTACAAGGCAGCAGTATGCTGGTCTGCTGGACTTTCCCTGTTGGTACAGAAAACATTCACTGTTTCTTGCTGATTCTCCATTTTTACTACCTAGTGATGGGTCCAGTTTTTAGGAGGACCCCTAAGAATACTCTGATCAGTCAGCACTCGCAAATGCTTGGGGCAGGAAGATGTGCAGGAGTGTTGTGCCACCTGCAGCTGCTCAGCCCGTCCCTTCTGAACATCTCCTGTACAAAGAGTCTAGCAGTGGCTCCTAGAAACTATGACACATTCAAGAGCATTTATACCTAAAGAGGAAGAATTCAAAGCAGCGTGGCCCTCTGCCATCAGCCTGTCATGGGACACCTCAGTAGACTAGATCACTTTACAGTTAGAAGAGACGAAATAACTGGGAGACTGAGTGACTGCTCTTTTAAATCAATTAAGACCAGAAGAAACTCAAGGGTTAGCCTCCTGGTAGCAGGGCGTGTGCTCCGAGGAAGCAGAATTAATGCTGTTCCTACAGATAAACTCATCTCGGTACACAGGCATCCGCCTTGCTGGGCTGAAGTAAGAGATGCTGCTGCTCGGCGAGAGCAGACCCTGCACTGAAGGCAAGGTTTGCCACAGCTTTTGGCTGGCGTTTGGAATAGAAAGGATGGGAAGGACACGTGCGGTTGGATGTTCCCATTTAACACTACTTGGTGTGCTACTTAGTGTTAATTCCTCCTTGTGACATTCTCTGTATGTATTCACAGCTGGTACGTATTTCTCTGCCTCCTCTGTCCTGTATCACTGGAGAGCAGCCATTAGTAAAACTGCTTTTACTAATTATTCAGTAATTTATTGTAATTTTTTAAAAGTACAAATAATACATGTGATTTTACACTGTCTGTCTGTCTTATCTGTCATGTACTCAATAAATGAGAACCAGAATCCTATGGGCTACCTTGACTGGATTTATTTCTCTGAGCTCATGGAATATTGCTTGTTCTTTCTCCATGGCCGTTACCGGAAAGAGCAGACTTGGTGTGACTGGAGTCTGACTTTTTTCTTTTTTTATTTTTTCTTTTTTTTTTTTCCTTTTTTCTTGTTTCATGTTTTTTGTTTGTGTCTTTTTCCTTTTGTTTGTGTCTTTTTCCTTTTGTTTGTGTCTTTTTCCTTTTGTTTGTGTCTTTTTCCTTTTGTTTGTGTCTTTTTCTTTTTGTTTGTGTCTTTTTCCTTTTGTTTGTGTCTTTTTCCTTTTGTTTGTGTCTTTTTCCTTTTGTTTGTGTCTTTTTCCTTTTGTTTGTGTCTTTTTCCTTTTGTTTGTGTCTTTTTCCTTTTGTTTGTGTCTTTTTCCTTTTGTTTGTGTCTTTTTCCTTTTGTTTGTGTCTTTTTCCTTTTGTTTGTGTCTTTTTCCTTTTGTTTGTGTCTTTTTCCTTTTGTTTGTGTCTTTTTCCTTTTGTTTGTGTCTTTTTCCTTTTGTTTGTGTCTTTTTCCTTTTGTCTTTCTTCTTTTTTTTCTTTTCTTTCTTCTTTTTTTTCTTTTCTTTCTTCTTTTTTTCCTTTTCTTTCTTCTTTTTTTCCTTTTCTTTTCTTTCTTTTTTTTCTTTTCTTCTGTTTTCCTGTTGTTTATTTTTTTTGTTTTCTTTCCTTTTTCCTGTTTATTTTTTTTCTTTTTGTTTATTTTTTTCTTTTCTTTTTTCCTTTTTCCTGTTGTTTATTTTTTTTCTTTTTGTTTTCTTCTGTCTTCTTCCCCACCCCCGCATTTTTCCCCAGATTACTCTGTTCATTTACTTTCTCCATAGCGCAGACTGACGCAGCTTCAGGCCGGCGCGGCCGGGACCGCTGGTGCCGCAGGCGCGAGCGCGCTGG